TGGTAATCCTTCCATCAATAAAATAAGATATCAAGATTTGTTTACACTATTAAAATAAGTATCTAGCTTTAGTTAGACACAAACGTTATAATGATTTTATTAGATGCGGATTTAGAATTACTTTTTTAGGACTAAAATCATTTATGAAATATAATTGGCTATGTAAGTCATTATTATGTCCTTTCCATACTTGTATCGCCAAATTAATTGGTTCTATATATCTTGATACTTATTATTTTTACAAAGATATATAAATCATTTCAATTTTTAAATAATATTTCCTCTAGTATATATAGTAACACTGGATTTAGATGTCTGTACTCTGATCGGACAGAGTAGCACGTTGGGTTATTTAAAAAAATACAATTTTTCGTAATTATTTTTGAAGTGATCCAACTACGTAAATTTAACTGTGTATATTGTAATTTATTGAGCAGCGGAAGGTAACAAGTCCTGGTCATAATAATGTTGCATGTAATTAATTAAGCTAATCACTTGTAATCTATTGTGCGATATATTTTCTTAATTAGTGATAATATGGGAGCAGGTATAGATTTTCTTCTTTACGGTTCATATCCTCCCTTCATTAATTTAGCCAATTAGTTGATACAAAATAATTGATTAATGGATATAAGATGCACTAGAGTTAATAGAAACGAATTAATCTCTACATCGTAATTTTATTATGGAATTTTAAGTGGATTCTTTATGCTGATTAGTCAACTTTTTGAGCATGAATAACACCGAAAAAAATTCATATCTTAACATGATATAATTAGAGTCACACTCATTTCAATTATCAATTTATCTAGTATTGAATACTCATATTTGTTTACGGTTCAACTGACAGATCTGAACGTACTAGAGAGAATGTTAACAGTCACACATGGTTTCTGGCATGGAAAAGTGGACTCTTTATGTGGTCTTGATCAATCTTTAACTATTGAAACAAATTCTAAAACTGAGTCACGCCCGAGATTTATTTTTTTCAACTCAATTCAATAGCCGCACAAGGAATAAAAAGAGGAACAATATTGCTGCGTTATAATAACTTACATAAATAATAATTTGAACTGTCACTATACAACAAATGTTAACTACCACTTAATACATGAGAAAGTGATAGAGTATATATAAAGACACTTTGAAAGTCTTTTTAATTTGATTGTAGTTGCCATCAGTTGTTGTTGGAGAAACCAGTAGTGTTAAAAGTGCACTTCCACTATATGAGTGTGTACAATCATATATGAATTTTATTGTATTCTACTTGCAGTTTGGAGAAACTTTTTCATTAATAAAGTATTTTTAATGTAACAATCATTTCCTATTTAAGAATCACATAACAGAGTTCTTAATTTGACATTTGGAAAGTTACTTTTTATCAGATAGATTAAAGAACATAATTTTGTAAGATTGGCTAACACTAAGAATCAATTTTTTTTTTAAAAAATGTTCATCAACATCTGGAAAGTTTTAAGTTGCTTTTTATTTAGAAAATTATATGTTCATTAATTATAGTATGTACTAAATTTGGTAAAGTTGGACGGCACAATAATATCACTTCATTCCTACCTAAATGATACTACAAAATATGGACACAACATAAAGTTGTATTTTGTGAAATATTTTCAATTTATATTATATGCTGCATTCAAGTTTCAATACTAGTAGTTCCTTCAAACTTTCAAGTATCTTCAACTAGTTTTGAGAATAAAACTCGGCTTCTATAGAATAGGAAATTATTGCTAGTAATAACGACTTGTCACGAATTTATTAGCTTTGATAAAAGAGATAAATTTGCAAGGATAGCAAGTAGCTAATTTGGTATATTCTATATCATATAAATTTAAATGGTGAAGTTGACGTCATCGGTTCTATGGTGTAGTGGTTAGCACTCTGGACTTTGAATCCAGCGACCTGGGTTCGACTCCCGGTAGGACCTCTTCATTTTTTCATTTTTTTTCGCTATACGCTGAGAGTGTGTTTGGTACGGAGAAAAATGTTCTCTCTCAAAACAAGTGAGTTTGCAAAGGACAACAATTAAGATTTTAAGGCAAAATTATCATTTGTCCCTTATAAGTTTATAATTACAAAAATCCAAAAATCCCTCAACCAGATACAATAATATAAGCACTGATACACTAATCTGATGCGCGAGATACATTAATCGTTAAGTAAGATGCATTACATTTTATACATGATACACTAATTTGAAGTACATTTTATATATGATACACTAATTTGATGTGCGAGATACATTAATCGTTAAGTAAGATACATTGCATTTTATACATGATACACTAATTTGAATTACATTTTATACATGATACACTAATCTGATGCGCGAGATATACTAATTTGTTGCGTTGATACATTAATCTGATGCACAAAAATGAGGAATTTTGGAAATTTGTAAGACTAATAGGGGATAACGGTAATAAGAGAACTTAAAGGTGAGATTTCTGGAATTTTTCCTGTTTATATGTTATCTAGCAAAACACTATGGGGGAGGTGGGAATATATTGTGGGGAGTGAGAGGTGGGGGTGTCCGTAACTAGGATTGTCGGGGGAGGGGGACGATATGTTGGATGAGTGATGAAGAGATAATGAACTTGAAATGTCACTTATACAACTTGTTTATCTACTTTGATTAAGAAAGTCATTTTTCTCAATTTTAAAAAACTTGTTTTATTAACGGTCAAGTACCAACACACCCTGAAAGCCAGATCCATCTACAGGTGGAGCCCATTTTGCAAAATTATAAGCCCAACAAATACAATAATAACCCAAAAGATCCAATAAAATTTTGGGCCACAAAGAAGGCAACATTGGTGGGAAATTTTCCCAATCACAAATACTAGCAATTTATTGAAGTTTAACCATCTCTAAGTTTGTATTGTAATACAGGGAGGCCTGATCATTCAGCAATACAAAAACCAGATCGCATAATTATAAGCCTAGTAAGATATACAAAAAGGGAAACTTTGGACTCGAAAGAAGTCAATTTTGTTCGTTTTAATAACTAATTTAACATTTGGTGTAACTAAGGATAAACAGATTCAATTCGAGTCAAGCTAAAAGTAGGTATTTTCATTCCGAGTGAAGAGCAAATCTAACATTAATTGAAATTTGAGTGAAAGGACAATTTTATATTCAATATCTTATTTATTCTCGCTTAATGTTAAAGATCATTTAACCTTTTTGTAAGCTCATGTGATAAAGAACAACCCTTCTCCTTTGCGTTTCCTTTTCTTCTCTTATAAGCCCGAGTGTAAAAATATATTTCATAAGATTCTAAGTATTGTAACGCAGAAGTGAGATTTTACCTCCTTTCATTTTTTCTTTGGTATATCTATTGAAGCCCCTTGATTGAATCTTTAATTAGAAAAAAATATACAAAAAAATAAAAGTACTTTCATGTTAAATTTAATAAGTTACACGAAATAATAAATAAATATCTAAAAATAAATAAATTATAAAAACTAAAAGGCATAAAATATTAAGAGAAGAACTAACGATAGATTTAGTAAAGGCGTAAATTTAACAATCGCTTATCTCGTTTCTAATTTCGTTGTTCTTTAATTTGACACAATATTACATACCAACTACTTTTTATTTGTTTGAACTGTTCTCTCATTTTTTGTCTTATAATGATTGAAGATTGCTTATTTGAATAGAAAAAAAAAAGAAAATGAGAAAAAAAAAACAAATAAATGGCTACACATTTGGCACTTGGCATGCATCCTATTAATCTTCATTATGTTAATATAATTCCACACTAATAACTCATCTTTGTTGAATACTAATATTTTTATTTTTTGGGACACCTCTGCCTTTTGCGTCATGCTTGTGTACTTGAAAAAATGTGGTCAGCTTTCCAACACGTTGGCTATTCATGTTTGGTATTTTGTTTTTTTCTTTATCTCTTCACAATGTTGGATAGTTATATCGTTTAAAAACATATACCACGAAGTTTTTTTTCGCGGTAATTCATTATTTTTTTCGTCTCAATTTATATGACTTGTTTTCTTTTATAGTCAGTCTAAAAAAAATGATACATTTCTATAATAAGTAACAATTCAACTTTAAGATATTCATTTTACTCTTAATGAAATGATTTATAACCACACAAATTTCTATTATTTATTTGTAGACCATAAGTTTCGAGGGTAGTCTTCCTTTTATTTCTTAACATGGGATGGTAGACTGCTAATAATAACTTTGCTGCTCATGAAGCCCCACGTCCCATTTATTCATGGATGGCATCGTGATGGATCTCTTATGTTTTTGTTCTGAAATAACCTAAGCATCGATGTAATTTGCTGTAATTAATAATGATATAATATAAGCTAATAGCTAGCATTCAACTTTGCCTGCATGCAGATGAACTCCAACACTGAATTTGGAATAATATGTGGGATTGCTTTTGCTTTAGGTTTAAGTTCAAACTCTATTTCATTTTATTCACACTTTTTTTTTTCTTCTTCTAAATTAAATATCTTTGACATTAGTGAAACTACTACTTCGTTTTTAAATTATTCTTTTTATATAATATTATTTCATTAGATATTAAATTTAAAAAAGTAAAAAAAAAATTGTTATGTTAATGAATTATTTTTATGAACTATCACCTTAATACTTACTTTTAGTTGACTTTTCCTCACAATAAAATATTAAATGTGATTAAATAAGAATAAGATAGGAATAGTATCATTAATACAACATCCTCAATTAGACGAGGCAAAAAATAAATATCAATGACAGAAAATAAAAGAGATTATAATACATTAAAAAATACTTTTTAACTTAGAAAATATTACTTAAAAATAAGGTTCTATTTTGAAGAAGGTATAGTTTGTTACCACTTCATTTGCATTTAATCTAATTTATTTATTAATTTGACTAAACAATTAGTGTGATATGACATTTTTTTGTTACCTTTTTACCCCCTATTTGTAAGCCGTAAAAGTCACATTAAAAGAGAGAAAAGAGGCAAAAAAGGCTGAGTTTCAAATTCCGATTTTTTTTGGTTGTCCCGAGTCTCTTCCTCCTCCTTCAATCATTTCAATTCCAACTCACACACTCTTCTTCCAGCTAATAATAAACAACTTCATCTCTACTTATCAAAATTCACTGCTTCCGACCAAAAAACGCCGTTCGCCGTCGCCGGGATCTGGCGCAATGGCTCCGCGTGGCTGACTTGTTCTACGCGTCGACAGTTGAAGTAATAACGAATAAAAAGTTGAGAGAGAAGAGAACGAAGTCACCTTTTTTTCGTTTCCTTTCTCTTTCGTTTTCATTGACCTTTTCCTTATTCAACTTGTACTACTAGATATTGATATCCTTTGCTTTATTTTGATTGATTGAGAGAGAAGAAAAAAATAAGAGAGATGTATGGAGTGGCTCCGCCCAAAAGTTCAGATTCCGGCGATGGTGCAACCAATCAGGCCGCCTTTATACGGACTTATCAGGTCTGGAAGGGAAGTAATGTAAGTGATTGACCTTTTTCCTGTACTATTCTATATGTTGGGATCTCAGATTTTCTTTTGGAACTTCAGGATTCTATTTTTTCAAATGTTTGATTAATTTGTAATTATTCCTTTGATATTGTATTAACTGTTTGAGATCGTTGAATAGCTACTAGTGATTTTAGTCCCTCGTTCTCCCTGAAATTAATGGATTGTTTAAACTTTTACCTGTTGAACTTAGTTTTAAATACTTGATAATTATGGAATTGTTTTGTAATATACAGTAAATTTTAGTTATAGAATGATGGAAAAGGCAGACATATATTGTGGTCCTTTTGAAACGACTAAAGAGCATTGATTCTGTGGCTTCTAAGCTTCACTTCAGGTAGTGGCATGAATGGTGGTGGTTCAAAGATAAGATTATTCAACTTTAGTTTGGCATGAACGGTGGTGGTTCAAAGATGAGATTATTCAACTCAATTGAAAAATGAAATTACGATACTAAAAGATATGGAAGTACAACTACTTTTGCTCTCAGAATAGCTGTTGCTGTCATAGTGGGCAGATTCCTGCAGTTTGTAGGGTTTAGTGCTCAATGGACTCTGAAGTGCAGGGAATTATTTGGTGGTAAATATTTCAGGTTTCAGTGTAGGTAAGGGTTTTGTAGTTGATGCAAAGTAGGAGAAGTCTCTCTGCAGGAAACAAAAGTAATTTCACTGATATCCCTTAGTCGTCTTCTCTTCCAAGTACCTACTGTAATTCCATGAGAGCTTTAACTGCTGTAAAATGAACTCTAATGAAAGAAAACACAGTAAAGAGGCATTTGTAGATTATCCAAACCTTTCCTATTCATATGATGTACTTGGAAAAATTAAGTTGACACTACCATACTTAACCAAAAAAGATAGTAAAAATAATAATTTCACAAATTTTCTGTAAAATATGACAAATAAGGTAAACACCAAATACCTTTAATACCTTTACGAGGAAACCTCAGAAGGAAGGATAGATAGTAAAAAAAGAAGCAAATAAGGTAAGCAGAAATCAGTAAGCTAATTAAAGCTCTACAAAACTTTGAGATGCCTCAAAATTCTAGTTCGCGCTAAAATGAAGCAACTACATGTACTATTGACAAGCTCTTCAAATTAGATGTATTATTGCTATTTTTTGACATCTCTTTGCAATAACAAAGCTTCTTAAGGCGCATATGTCGTGATTGTGCATACCTTTTTCTTGACATTAGTGCCTCTTGATTATGCAGAAATTTATTCTTCAAGGAAGATTCATTTTTGGACCTGATGTCAGGTCAGTCTTTATGACTATCTTCCTAATAGTCGCCCCAGTTGCTGTTTTTTGTGTCTTTGTTGCGAGGAAACTGGTGGATGATTTTTCTGGTGACTGGGGGTGGTCGATTATGGTTGTAGCCGTTGTTTTCTCAGTATATGTAAGTGTATATTTTTGCTCCCACTGACAATATCATTTGGATTTTGCTTGTGTTTAATCTTCCAATTTAGAAATTATATAGGATTTCTTTTTCTTCTATAATAAGTGAATTTATTGGATTGGTTTGTTAAGAGTCTTTGTTCTTTTTGACTCTGTGCCATTGATTCCATTATTATTAGTGAAGCATATTGGAGCAATTCCTTTATATTTATACAGATAGGGGACATAATTCATATGGATATAATAAGTTTTGCTAGGGCTGCTTTATGAAATATCTTACATGATTGCTGGATTGCTGTGTGTCCTTCTCAATACCATGATGTTAGTTCATCCTAAAAACTTGACTTCTTTCCCTAATAGTTTGACTGCCTGTTCCTTGGCCAATGTTGTTCATTTTTCTCCGGTTATTCCTTTTCCTGGTTACATGATTGTAATTTAATATTGACATTGGATGATGAAGTGAGTATGATAGAAACCAAGATGAAAATAAAGCTTTACTGATTAAATGAAGTGCAAGAATCTTAAACACTGCATTAATCAATAACTAAGTCCGTATGGAGTGGACAAATCTCCAAATATAAAAACAAATAAAATAATTTTCTTCTTCTTACCGGATCTCTGCTAGATACATATATTTATACTAAACATAAAGATAACTCTTGACACAAAAATAGTTACTGCTGTAGATAACTGCCTAATAACTACTGTAGATAACTGCTAACTGCTGCCTATAACTATTATACATAACTAAGATATACAAGTAGTCGTGTCAGAGTAGTTGGAAACGATATGTGATGAGCATACTTATTTTGCACCAGTAGCTGGAACCTGGAGCAGACATGGTTATATATGGCAGAAAGCTTTTGTGATTGTGATGATTTAAGATTTCTGATTTTAATTGTAATGGATGTCGGCATTTATAACTTTGTACCTCAGACACATTTTAAAGTAAGAACACTATCTGAATAGTTGAAGACATTGCTAAGTACTTGGCTCTTTTGATATGCCCGTAAAAAAGTGTTGGATCGATGATAATGTCAATGTGTCTACTCAAAAGTCAAAACAAGGGTTGGATATATCATGGCCAGACAGTGCAGCTTATATTTTGAAGATGTGTGGGCTTTCAAATATTTAGTCCATGTTCTTCCAGTTTTTCTGGTTGCACAAACCGAACCACTGCCCTTAACAGATATGGATGTTGTTTTCGAAAGAGTGTTTACTAGACTCTATTGGTATTGTTGATCAACAATTATAATCATCTGGGCAAAAAGGGCGTGGTGTATTCAAACAAAGTGAAAGTCCTTTTACAAAGAGCATGAGGGATCTAGCATTGTCTCAGTGTAATTAGAAGCTAGGGAGGAGAGAGCCAATAGTTTTTGGCCCTTCATGGTAAACAAGGTTTATGCAATCCCAAGCTAGGAAGGGAATAGGCACGTATGTTTCTGAAGGTAGAGCAGTGATGCGATCCTTGTGCAAGTCCATATAAAAGCTGCTGTTAATTTGGGAGAATCAAGCTAGTCTGCTATTGCAACGGAGATCATAATGACGAAGTTTAAAAAACGGTGAAGATTGTATAGTGCATCTTTGGGGTAATGTATCACTGCTACTTTCTGTTGACAAAAGTTAAGATTTATAAATCTTTTCTCCAGCTAAAGTTAGCTTTGAAGGTCTTCAGGGATGGGCCATTATGTGAAGACCGAGCATGAGAGTCTAACTAGGAAGTCAGTGAACTTGCTGGAGTTGAAAAAAATCCTTCTTGTTCTCATTAGTTTTAGAAGCAGAACACATCGATTGCCAACAGTTTGAGAAGTTTTGTACTTCATTCTCAAAAAAATGACACTTGAGATATGCTTGACAGTTTAACATTGCATGGTGTTTTGAAGAGATTCAACTAATTTATGAGGAACCTAGGGAATCTTGAGGAGAAGAATTGTAGTTAAATATTCATTTATTGGTCTAGAGTGGCTTTTTCTTCTTAAGAAATAACTGAAATGACAGAATCTTTTACCATAAATGGAATTCCCCTTTCTTTGGTTTACAGATATAAATTTTTTAACAAATCCACATTTCTAACTGGACACATAAAAAGTTTATGCCCAAAAATAGAGATAATAATATGTACCTTCTATGCGGTTCAATTTTAGGTAGCAGAAATGTGCCAGATTTCATTGCGCTTTCTCCGTGTGCAGAATTGCAATAGTTGGAATTTTCTCCCTTACTTGATCTTTTACTGTGTTGGCCATACCTTAGTGCTTTGGTAATACTGGCTTTATTTTAGCTTTCTAAAGCATTACTCCTTGCATCTCATCTTGTTTTTGCGTTAGTTCATCATGAAAAATTTGAAGTTGCTTGAATATTCTCTGCCGTACAAGGGAGTGAAACTAGGTTCTTGTAGTCTTATGTTTACTTTTTTTATATCACATAAGGTAGAACTTTGTTTTCCCAGAGCACACAACGTAACAGATAACCTTCTGAATTATTAGTGGGAAAAAGTTCATAATGTTTCAGGCTGATGTTTTCAAACAAATTAACTATTTACTAGGTAGTTTTTACTGTATCAGTACATTACTACTACAAAATTGTGTAGATTTATGAGTCAGAACATATAATCATCATCATTTTTTTTTTGACAAAGGTCATAGTGCTTCTTCTACTGACTTCTGGAAGAGATCCCGGTATAGTTCCTCGCAACCTTCATCCTCCAGAACCAGAAAACTTTGAAGGGAGTGCTCTAGCTGGACCTGGTCAAACTCCCCAATTACGTTTACCACGCATCAAGGATGTGACTGTCAATGGAATAACTGTGAAAACCAAATATTGTGACACCTGCATGTTGTACAGGCCTCCACGTTGTTCACATTGTTCAATTTGTAACAACTGTGTGGAACGTTTCGACCATCACTGCCCCTGGGTTGGACAATGCATTGGATTGGTGAGTATCTGGTTCTAAATACAAGCATCTTCACAGTAGAAGTTGTAAAAAAAGAAATGCTTTTCCACTTAGTTCTTGATCCTACAATGCATTCATGGCATTTCCCAATAATAATCCTCCCGATCCATGGTAATTTGTATCATACTTTGGTGGTCATTGATACATGATTTTTCCATTTAGTTCTGAATTCGTTTGCAGTATGAAGATAAATTGTATGTTTCTTTTTTCCTTTAGTTCCTCTTTTCTAGTTATTGAACTTCTCAGGCTGTGGCCTAATCTGCACTTGTCCATGCACATCTAAGCTCATCTTTATGAGAAAACCTGTAGTGCATAGCTAGGCAGTCACTTATCTTTCCTAAAGACGCTTTCTGCCATTATAATTTGTTTTTCTGTCTTTCTCCTGAATCCATAGAACTTCATCCAAAAAACATATTTCTGAATAATAATTTACTTCCTCTATAAGTAATTAGGTTAGAATAGCGCATGAAGGAGCTGCAGTTTGTCCATTTACATTTTCTTCCATAAACTCTTCAGGCTAAGGCTTTGTAGCTGATATTGTCATTCTTGCAATGGTATGTTTTGACCAAGTATTTACAACAAAGCAGATTTGATACTTTTCTTCGCATTGAGAATCTTTGGAACTAAACGGGTGTCCTCTTTTTATTTCATTTATATGTTTAACGAAGTCTTTTAAGACAGACCTTTAATGGTATATTTCCCCTTTATCATAACCCATTGAAAGAATCTTGCTCTTGAAGCTGTGATTCTGGTAATACGGTTGAGACATATCTTAGACTTTGGATAGTTTTACTGCCAGACATTATGCTGGTCACACAGCAAAGGCTTACTTCCGTAATTTCTGGGCATTCAGAGAAGTTTTTGTAATGTTAGTGCTGTAGCTTTTTTAATCTAACCATATTATGTTTGTTGGTGCAGAGGAATTACCGTTTCTTCTTCATGTTTGTCTTCTCAACAACCCTTCTTTGCTTGTACGTGCATGGCTTTTGCTGGGTCTATATCAAAAGGATCATGGATGGTGAACATACGTCAATCTGGAAGGCAATGGCCAAGACTCCTGCTTCTATTGTGCTAATCATTTATACATTTATATCAGTTTGGTTTGTTGGTGGCTTGAGCGTCTTCCATTTGTATCTTATTGGCACAAATCAGGTATTGTTATGTTCTTCAAACTTAATCCGCTTCTTTTTCCTATTGGAAGAATCAAACTACCCTCATGTTCTATTTCTCTATCATGTTGACATTTGAATCTGCAGTCAACCTATGAGAATTTCAGATATCGGTATGATAGGAGGGTCAACCCTTATAACAAAGGTGTACTTCACAACTTCTCAGAGATATTCTGCACTAGTATACCTCCTTCGAAGAACAACTTCAGAGCCAAAGTGGCGAGAGAACCTGGAATACCACCTCGTGAAGTTGGAGTTGGTTTTGTTAGTCCAAACATGGAGAAAACAATGAGTGATTTAGAAAGGGGAAGGAAGCCTTCTTGGCATGAAGAAAGGAGAGGAGCAAATGAATTTGAAGGACAGACTAGAAATGATAATCAGTTCGATAAGGAGGAAGAGCTATCAGTTATATCCAATGGTGCCACATTGCCAGATGGGCGTAGTATACTACATCCGAGGCGCTCTAGTTGGGGAAGAAGAAGTGGAACCTTGGAAATACCACCTGATGTAGTTGCTATGGCATCTGAAATTGGAGATTCAAATAGGATAACTGTCAGTAATGGCGCTTTCTCAACCGAAAACCACCAATAGTGACTACTGACCTTGGTGTTGTTTAAGCTATTGTAAAAGAACTGACAACTGTAAAGATCATTAGCCAGAGTTTATGGGTGGGATCAGCCCTTCTGACTTTTAACTTCTCTGTGTGTATATTATTTTCTTTTTTTTTTTTTGTTTAAAATTTTCTTCTTGTGTGTGAGGCAACAGAAATTCTTTGCAAGGTTGTTCAATGCATCCAGTCTGACTGACGTATATATGAATGGCCTTTCTCGTGAATAAAATAAAAATGAGAGCATCTCTTAGAATTTATAACACATCAGTAACAACACCACATGAACTGTATTGTGCTGTGCAACAAGATTTTTTTATTTTTTATAAAGCTAATCTTTCTTCACTGAACCCGTTTCATTATGAGCATGCTCATCTCCATGTATCGTTTTGCACAGTGACTTAAACAATTATATTCACTGGAGCTGAACTTGCTTCCGGGAGTACCAGTCACGCATTTGTCCCAGCAGGAACTTGTAAGCTTTGCAACTACTTCATTGACCATGGCCCTTTCCTTCTCTTGCTGCATAAAAGGAATAAATCAGCCGCAAAATATTAGAAAACTGTAGGCACAGGGAAAAGCACACACCAACATTCAAACCGAAAACTGCCATATTATATACAAGTCGAGGCAACTAAATCAAATCCGGTCAAGTCATGCACTGTCTTCTTCCAACACAACTAACAACGTAATATTTGTGGAGACATCTCAAAACACTGCAGAAACTTTGACATTGGCAAATATATAACAGTAAAAACGATAAGACGTGGACAGACAAGAAAAAGATTAAAGATGGGTTTATTTTTCAAAGTGCAAATTGACTAGAGTATAACATCTAGCAGAGGCTGCAAGTTACTCAAACAAATAATATTGAGAGAAGATCACCTAAAACGTCCTATGTACACCTTTATATGCATCGGGGTCAATAGAAATGACAGGTGCTGAAAGAAGTGAGATAGGCTATGAAGAAATTTGTCCAACAACAGGTATACAATCTCTCGTAATCATAACACAACACAAGTGAAAGATCCATAACAATGGATGCCAAGCCTAGGCGTGAACTAATTTTTCTAGCTCAATGAGAAATGGATTTAATGCCTAGCCCACTAGTGCTAGGCACTTAAATTAGTCTCCACTGTTGGTAAGGAGTCTTTTCTTCTGAAAGAATAAGTACTATAAGATTTAGGGAACGTCTAGTTTTAGAAATTTTTTAATTTGCCTTAAAATACAAATTATTCCTACTGAATAAAACACACCTGAACATAGTAGAAGTGGATATAGATGATTCAGATAATCAGCCCCAAATATAAGGAAAAAAAAGCAATAAGATGTTCTTATCTGCTGTTGCACTAAAAGAGCTGCCATAAAAGAGTCGCAAAGGACAAGTTTGCATAGTAAAAGCTGATACATCGATACTACTAACTCATAAACACACGGACGTACTGCACATGGTTCTCAAGTTGATTTCATTTGGTTTACCAAGGCCAAACACAGGGGCGAGTAAATGTTTAAAGCAATAGTTTATCTGAACCCAATACTTCTAACGCAAAGTATAAATTTAGGGGTACAAAACAACTAAAATTATAACAAATAGAATGCATAATTTTAAAAATATAATAAGTTTGAACCCATTAAATCCTGGAGACGCGTCTAGTCAAACAAACAATGGGGATCAAAATGACAGACCTAAAGGAGTTCACCACGTCTCATAAAATCTACTATACAGTACAGTTCCTCTCATTTCGTCACTAGTGTATGTGCCCTAGATACATGTTTTCAGAGCTCGAGAAGATTAAGCAAAAAAACATCAAAGCAATAATTTCCCAATTGGTCGACTACCTAAACTTTCAACTCATTGGCAATGGTTCAATTCCTCAACTTTCAGTCCCCTCCATTTTTTTTTCTTTAAATAATAATAATAATATCCAAAAAGAAACATAACTGAAAAAAATGAATCCTTCTAAATCCGGAGCAGCATCAAAAGTATCTATCCATAGGCATAATGCTCAAATAAAATTTCCAAATTATCCAAAACTAAATCAATTTACAGAAAGAAGAAGCAAAACAGATATACAAAATACACATCAAATAAAATTATACATGATATTAGAAAAAAAAAAAACTTACATTGAGAAGTTGCTGCAATTCGGGAGACGACTTAAAGGTTGAAGGATCCATGCAACTTTTGGGGAACAAATGCTACTTTCTGGTTTTCGTGAAGATGGTTAAATTTTTTTGACTTGCAAGTTAAAACCCTAACAAAAAGTTGATCGAAGCCGACGGGACGGGTCGGATGAAATGGGCTACGATTGGATACTATTAACTCCGAGAAGCCCGTTATCTTGTACCAAATTGAGATGATTAGCCCAATCGTTTATTTGTGTTAAGGATTCATGGTGAGGCTAATTTATGCAAATCTCTCCCTTTTAGGTTACTATTTAAATTTTCTCTCTATTTTAACAAGTTGTACAAATATAACTTAAATTTACATCAAATATTAGCTTCATTTTGTAGATAAAAAAATTGACTATTTAAAATTTGTTATAAATACATTGAATTAAATTCAAGTGGATTGTCCATTAAGCTTATCATCAACTTATCCTTATCATGGATATGTATTCCCAAGGTGATGAATCTTTTTAAGATAGAAATGTATCTACTAATGTGACATTAAACATGGTGACCTTTTGGTTGATTTCTCTACCTATAAATAGAGATACCATTCACCATTGTAATATACACTTGAATAAGAAGAAAATTTCCCTTCTTCTATCTATCTCTCTTGTCTTCGTCTCTTTATGATTATATTCTTATGAGCTTGATTTTATAACACGTTATCTGCACGAGTCTCTAGCCAATTAAGATTGAGTTTTAGTTTTTCTTTAAC